GATGGGTAAGCACTCACTGGATAGAAAAGGTTTACCCTAAAATGGCTATGAACTTTATCTGACAGAGGCCAAAGGGAAAACTCATACGATGAGTGGATGTGATTCTTTACAGAAAGGTGGTGGGGTTTATGCAGCTGAAACAGTTGGCTCCATACACCCTATGCGATTTCCCACATTTCCAGAGACACTTCGTCGTCTCCATCACTAAGATGGGAGGGAAATCTCAAAGATGAATAAATGGAAATGGAACATAGATTAAAAGTCATATCTATGTAGGTTACTTGAATCAAACTACGGTTGTAGACTAACGTTTTGCTGTTTTACCAGAAAATGGCAAACGGTCAATTTGCAAAGCTTCTCGGTGATAATAAGCTTAAGGGCCTAAACTATGCCGATTGGTATAGAAACCTTATGTTGGTCCTGACTTCAGAAAAGTTAGATAAGGTGGCAAAGAATCCTGCACCGGAATGTTTGGGAGACAGGGCTTTAGAAGCCCGCAGGAGGGACTATATCATAGTCCCTAGCCCGCTACTATATCATAGCCTCCCTAGATAATCCGATACAGAGGCAGTTTGATCAGATCGAACTCGCCAAAGACATATTGGATAGTCTAAAGACTATGTACGGAGAGTAGAATCGTTCTACTCGCCAAAAGGTCCTGAAGAAGTTCATGACCGCACAGATGACCAAGGGGTAGCAAGTTCATGACCATTGTCTCCGGATGATGGGTTACATAAACGAACTGGAGGCCCTTGGCTCCGGGTTAGATCTGGTCACACAGATAGACGCCATTCTTAACTCCTTGCCTCTGTCCTTCAATCCGTTTATCATGAATTTTAACATGAACAAGCTGAACGTCAGCTTGCAAGAGCTCAGCAATATGTTGCAACGAGTCAAAGAACTGATTAAGAAGGATGAGCCGATAGCCATGCTTGTTGAAGCTGGCAAATCTGGCAAGAAGAGGAGGGCAAAGAGAAAGCCCCAGAAAAAGGCCACCAAATCTAAGAAACAAAAGAAAGACAAGGCATCTGATGCCTGTCACTTCTGCAAGCAGGCCGACCACTGGAAGAAGAACTGTCCCGCCTACCTGGAATCTAAGAAAGGTAATCTCGAAACTTGTGTCGTAGAGACTAATCTGTTAGTTACTTCTGTGTCTTGGTGTGTTGACTCTAGGGCTTCAACTCATGCGTGTAATTCACTATAGGGGTTCAAAGTAAGCAGAAGGCTAAGTGAAGGGGAAGTGACACTTTACTTGGGGACTTCTGCAAGTGTTGTAGCTACGGCGATAGGAACCGTAGAATTAGTCTTTAGAGAAGGAATTCTTGTACTTAAGGATTGTCTTTATGTACAGAGCTTAAGAAGAAATTTGATTTCTGTTTCTAAACTGTGTGCTGATGGATATACTGTCTATTTTAGTAATATGATTACTATTAAAAGGAACAATAAAATCATCGCATGCGGGGGACTAGAGAACGGTCTCTATGTTCTACGTCCTTCTCTAGAAACTAACTTAGCCGAAACTATGTCAGTCGAAATCCCCAAGAAAAGAACTCGTGATATAGTTAGTCTCACGTGCCTGTGGCATTACCGACTTGGGCATATCGGTATTGACCGAATCACAAGGTTGGTAAAGGATGGTCMTTTGGATTTTCTAACTGTAGAAGATCTTCCCACCTCGGTGTAGAGGCACCTTGACACCCAATCCAGTTCGAGACTAAAGAATCGAAGTTACAGCTCGAAGCTAATGAGCCGAAACGCTACATAACCGACTCCAAAGACCTCCCCAACATATCCCGAATCTCTCGAGATCACGATGAGCCAACAGATCCCGAATTTCCCAAGATCACGATTAGAACTCGTCTTGGCTCCGCCTAAATCGGAGGTAAATGATAAACCTTATCAACATACTGCTCTCCTTAAAAAATGGAACAAACCTTATCTCCACAGCCCAGAGATCCCGGAGCTCTTTCGTAAGACCCACGACTACTCCAGTATATAAAGACATGAAACCTCAAGGCAAAGGTATGCGTGATTATTTTACTCACTAACACTCAAGCTCTCAAGCATTCAACTCGCATTCACAGCATAAGTATTGACTTAAGCATCAGAGCGACCTCGCCGGGTTAGTTACCTCGGGTTCTCTGATCCACTGTTTTGCAGATTGATCCAGTTTGCCACTCAATTGGAGTTCAGATCGCCCTCTAGCTAGGAGTAGCCAGATCACGCACCAACAATAACAATCCTTAAATTAATTTTTCTTCTAATAAAAAGGGTATTATTGTTATTTTTTTAAAATATGACAGTCACGTAGTATGCATGTGAGCGGATTGTAATAGAATCTTAACGGCCAGGGGAGAATTAACAATTGTTAAAGAACTTAAGGATACTTTAATACAATATATAAACAATAAGGATATAGTTAATCAATTAACTAAACCATAAGGATAATTTAAGAAATTTGCCTTATTTTTTTTTACCCCTTATTACACCTGCGCGTGCCAAACTTTGGCAAACATATTCAACTCATTACGAAATTAGAAACCCGCTAAACTAGTTAATAATTAACTCCACTAATTAAGGGATTGGGTATTGGCAACATAAAAGATATTTTCTTTTTAAATAGAAAAACGACCACATCAGCAAATCGATATGCCTTTTTTATACAAAATTGTATGCATTGGTGAACACCCTTTAAATCTTATCAAAACAATCCATTTATTAACAACTAATTAGATATGTAACTATGAACCCATATGGTAACACTTTATAATTAGTAGTGATCATGGGTTAGACCTTTGTCAAAAATAAATAAATAAAAATAAATATCATAAGTTAGGCCGGCTTGGGCTGGACTCAGCACCTTGGTTAAGGAGTTTTACCTAAGTCCAAGTTTGGCCCACATGAATTTTGATAACTGGTTATTGGTTTTATGATACCGGTTGATTGGTTATAATTTTTTTTTTTTGTATAAAGGGGTAATTTTATCTCATTCAAGTGTTTGGTGGGAAAGTTATTTATCCATATAAAATATGGGTATCACTTACCTGGGTAAGTGGTAGATAGGAGAAATAAATTTTCTATGGATCCCACATAAATTTGAAAACACATACACACACACATTGGCATCTAGGTCAATGGGAACCAAAATCCCATTGACCAACTTTCTCCCCTCTCAAATCTAAAAAAAGAACAAGCCCTTAGGCTATGTTTGGTTTGAAGGAAAAACTAGGGAAAGGAAAGAAAAGGTAAGGAAACCTTTACAAACCTTGTATAATTTTGTATACCTTTTCCTTCCTTTCCCTACCTTTTCCTTCAACCAAACATAGCCTTAGTGATATTTAGTGCTTAAATTGTGATGCATTTATGTATTTGATGATTTCACTTGATTGTGGTGATTAAATTATTGAAAATTATCTAAAATTTATTAAAAATTATGAAAATTATAAAAAATTATTAAAAATTACTAAAAATTCCCATGCATCATATAGGTCCCTGCCAGTATGCATCAATGATCATTAGAATTTGACAAAGTTTTACTGCTTACTGCCTGATGCAACCTCCTCCCTTATTCAGGTTAGGGGCAGACCAGAAAAGGAAGTAGTTAGAATTCATTTGAGCACTCATCATTTAGCAATGGATATACTAAGTTGAACAAATGACAGAATAAGATTCATATAACCAACTCCATATAGTATATGAGACAAGGCTTAGACGATGATGGCCCATGGATTCGAGCTAAGTTTTGTCGAGGCCAGGCCTGGGCATTTTATATTATATAAAATATAACATAATTTTATACATATATTATATGTTACATTTTATAAAATGTTTATATTTGATATATACAGTCATAGCACTCGAAATCCAGCCCAGCCTGGTCTGGGCTATAGCCCATGGCAAAAGGTGATAAGCTCAGTTCGGTTCAAAATATCGTTAGTAAACATTGCAAGTTTGTAACTTTGTTATTACTTAATAGACAATGGAGCACGGTCATTTGGCATCCTCCAATAGATGGTATTAATCCACTGTAGGTTTTTCAAGGGTTAGGGGTGTCAATTGGACTGGATTTGGTTCAATCCTGTCCAGTCTCATGAGAGTTCATTACAAATGGATCAGGTCCAATCCAATCCAATTAATATTTTGGGTCATTTTGGACCAGTACAATTCAATATTTAGACCGTTCAATCTAAACCTGGTCCATTGACACTTATTTTCTTATTTTCTATTAATGAATCAGATATTGGCTCAAATTAAATTTAATAAATTACAATAGTATTATGAAAAATAAATTAAAGACAATTAAATTTATAATATAAAAAATATTTTAGATTAAGAAATATGAAAAATTTTCCACTTTCTTGTATTAATATATATATATAGATAAATAGATAGATACATATGATCGAGTCGGTTCAGTTTTGGTCGATTTACAAATAACCAAACCAAGATTGACATAACTTGGTCATGTTGAAAAATTATTAAACCAAAACTGATAAAAAATAATAGAAAACCGAATAACTTGAATCGAGTTCGATGGAATTAGTTATTAAGAAGTTAAAATAGAAAACAATTATATATTCTTATATATTTTTATTATTTAACTTTTGATTAAAAAAAGCTCCTGCATCGAACGAATCCCCGCTATAAAAAAAGACTGAAATCTTAAGTCCAAACCTAAGCCGAGTACCCATATAAAATTACGGACTGGGTCGGTCCGGACTCGAGTTGAGTCCGCCCAGTTGCAGACCCAGAATTATCGCTGTGTGTGCCCGTTACTTCTACGGTTCTACTAAGTACTGACTAGTAAGATTCTACTAACGATTAACGAAAGAAGCCACACAAGTTATCGCAGATCTTCCTGTTCCTGAGATATAATCTTGTTCCAACATCCGACACGTGTCAAAGGGGTGACCAGTGCCCGTAAATATCACTCCCCCACTCCAGCTCCATGAAACCAACCAATTGAAGCCTGAGCTTTTAAATTCTCTCTTCAAAACAAAAATAAAAAAAAATAACAAAAATTATTCTCACTCTCATCAGAGTACCAAAACGTTTGGCGCTCTACGCCATGAACGCGGGAGCCTTTCTCCTCTCGTCTGCTCCCGACTTTTCATCCTTGCAGACTCGCAAGAATTCCAGTGTTCGTACGACTTCTCGGAAGGCTGCCTGCTCACATTTGAAAACTGAATTCCACGTTCGATTTCTTTCTCTCAAACATCACCATGGCTTTCGTGTTTCCTGGAGAAACTCCCGTGCATTGGAAGGATCTGGTCGGAAAGACGTTGGTAGAGTCTTGGCTGATGTCAAATCGGAGCCCTACGACGTTGCCGACTCGGCGCCGGAGTCGGTTAAGTTTCCGGATGGTTTCAGCCAGGTTGTTATAGCTGAGGACAGTTTAGAGTCTTTAGACGAGGGGCTTCCTTGGTTGGAGCAGTTTCCCAAGCGTTGGGTCATTGTAATTCTATGTTTCTCTGCTTTCCTGCTTTGCAATATGGACAGAGTAAGCTTCTCTTTATTCCCTCCATTACTCTGCTTGTGAGGACTAGGACTGTTTTTTAATTGTATAGAAATGAACATTTGATGCTTGATGCAAGCTTGTTATACGGAGATTGCGCCATTTAATTATCGTGTTGAAGTTACAATTTGTTGGTACTTTGAGTGTTTGCCTGCTTGGATCTTTCTTTCTTCATTCCAGTGTACAGTCCCTTTTGTTTATGTTTTTCGAAACTAAAACTGACTGTATGTCAGGTATTTTGAATTGTGGAAGACTTTGATTACGTTGGGAGTGTTCTTCCATTTTTTTTTTGGTTCTGAGAGGTTAAGTTATATATTTAATTATTCAAGATATTGTGGTTGTCTTTCGATGTTGTTTGGGATATGACTATTATCTACTGATTTTGTTTAACCGTATCAATTTGATGGTGAATTTTCTAAGCGTTGGAGTGGATCACCTAAAGGCTGAAAGGAGTTTGTTCAAGTTAAACGATGAAAAGATGATGCATTTGCATAATTTCTTATATTATAATATTGCTACTCCTTCTACTCTGACTTCTCTTAATACTGACATGATTAAATTTGGTTAGACTGAAAGGTAAAATTTTATTGTTGGGTTCGACTATGATACTGGAAAAACTTAACCAATCAACCGGTATCATAGAAGTAGTAATCAATCAGGTGGTATTCATCAAAATTTAAGGGGAAGGCGGGGTTGATTGGTCAAAGCTCTTCCGTTATCATGTCTTTCTGGCATCATAGATTTACTCTTTATTGTTTCAATTGCTGGGTAGCAATTTGCGAATTATTTTATGATTTTATTTCTATTCTGATTACTAAATAGCAAGTAATTATTAAAATTATTGCAAAAACGTCTAAAATTAGGACCTTCTTGCTACCTTAAATGTACAAAGAACGATCAGAAAATCTTCACTTTAGGGAATGATTAGTTGTTTTAATATTTTTTGAACATATTGAACTGGTATTTTATGTTTTCCTTGTTCTATCCTTCTCTTTATTTCCATTGCATTAACTCCGGTCATCCCTTCTGCTATTTCTTGGGCTTTGTGGAAAGAAATGAATAAGAGGGTGTTTGATGGGAGTAGCTTGAGGTGTGAAGACATTATTCATTAGACTAGTGGGTAGAATTATCTCTTGGGTTTTGAGGAGTTTGGATTAGTGTCTTTTTGTGTAATAGGATAGGTTTGGTTAAGTTAAGGGTTGGGCTCAGTATGTCAGGCATCATGTTTTTTGTTATGGTTTTGGGGTCTTTGTATACAGTTATACACCCCCTTACTGTATGTAAGCCATCTCTGTCAGTGGTGATGGTGTGTTTTGTACTCTGATCTATTTATCTAATAAAATCTATCTTTTTTCTTCAAAAAAAAATGTAGTTATGCATGTTTTCACAAGCTTTAATGATCCAGACCAGTTCAGCTCAGTTTTCTTCCTGTCAATTGATTTGACTATGCTCAAAATGGAATAATGCAGAGATTATAATTTATGACAGAGAAAAGTTGATGGATGAAACTTTTGTTCCTTTGAATATAGTACTTTAGCTTTTCAACATTTAATTAGATGCTTCTAGTGGTAGGAAGTTTATGGTATTGTAGATTTTCTTGTGACATAAAGGTCAAACATTTGTTCATATAAATTTTATTGTTCTTTCATGCAATGAGTTACTCCTGTCAGTACATGTTGTTTATGAGGTTGTTCCTTATCGGGTACTTTACTTGACCTCTTAATTTATTTCTATAGGAAGATGAGATGTAATTAATTGTTTGGAAAATCTGGAGAAGTTGTTAATTTGATTTTAGAAGCATTTCCTTTGTTTTATGTTCATCTATAACTTCTGAAAAAACAGTAATAATTTTTTTTGGGTAGGTCAATATGAGCATTGCCATCCTTCCCATGTCAGCAGAGTTCAATTGGAACCCAACAACTGTTGGCTTGATACAGTCTTCATTTTTCTGGGGTTACCTTCTCACACAGGTTGGCTACTGTTATAAGAACAAATATTCTTTGTTAAAATATTGAGATTATTTTCCTTTAAACCATATACTTTGAAGTGGTTTTCTGATTTCTGATGTTAATATGATGCACAAATTCCTGACAAAAGGGAAAAAAGAGAAGAATTAACCTTCTTTGGTTGGGTGATGACTTCAAAACTTAATGTAGTGCATGCAGACAACCATACTCTGTCTCTCACCAAGTTTGGGTAATTGTACACAAAATTACATCTAGAAGTATATGGCATGTTTCCAGAGTGATCTTTGTAACTGTGATATAAAATTGAGATTACAATAGTCAAGTTCCTTCCAGTGAAATTATTAAACCGAAAGAATGAATTTTTAAGTTGTTATGGTGGCTAAAAGATAAAAGTCTAAGCTTATTTTCTATGGCTTCTTTTGTGCCAAGAGAATTTGGATGCATGTTATATTGGGTAGAAAATTGCTCCCTTGCCATTTTGGGTTTTATTATCTAGAGCTTGGGTTGTAAATAGCATTTATTTGTTTTTGGGTATTGGAGGTATTGAGCGTGTCATTATAGAGTTCTGCATCTCTTTATTCTCTTATTGGAGAAATATATATTTTTTTATTTGTGAGTAGACACTACTTTTTTTAGCATATTTAGTTCTTAGTTAAGAACAAATTTATCTTGAGATGAGGAGATTCCTTGGGCCTATCTGATGAACAGGTTGGATCATCTACAAGAATCATCCATGTGGTTAAAATAGGTGGGTTCATGTAAGGGAGTTCCCTACTTGGCCCAATCAGGACAACTTTTTCCTTGTGTTAATGAACAAATTGGCACCTATATACGATTTTTTTCATAGCATTCTTTGGGAAGTGTCCTTTTATCATAGTTTTTCTAATAAGGCTTTAGGCTTGCAGAACTTTCATAGTTTTATCATGTCATATTAGATGCCAACGGTTGCACATTTGGTTGGTTTTTATGTATTATTTTTTGTCTCCTTTTGGACTCACTTTTTATTGATGCCATTGTATACCCACCCTTTTCTTTTGTCATCTAAATTCAAACTAATGGGAAAGCATTTGAGAAGAAAAATATTTTATTTATTTATTTCCTGAAAAGGGGAAAGAATGATGTGATACAATTTGCATCATATTTGTATCTCCTAGAAGTTTAGTAATCGTTTTCAGATGTCATTATAAATGTCTTTTTGCCACTGCATGCTAAGCCATATATGATCCAAACTTGCTTACTATCTCTAGAATTCAACACCTTCCTCCTAACTGTGAGCAGAAGGAAATCCTCTCCATTTGCGTTATGGTTCTGTTTGAAATTAGTGTATGTATTCCAGTAGATATGGTTTCTGCTTATCTTCAAAGTACATTGATTTAGTTTTTCATTGCTTATTCAATTGAGATTAGGTGTTTCAGTGTTTCTTGTAACTGCTAAGTTTATGTCAATAGATTGCTGGAGGTATATGGGCAGATACAGTTGGTGGGAAACGTGTATTGGGATTTGGAGTGGTTTGGTGGTCTATTGCAACAGCTCTCACACCTATTGCTGCAAAGATTGGGTTGCCTTTCTTACTTGTTGTGCGTGCTTTCATGGGGATTGGTGAGGTTAGATCCTTTCTATTTCCTATTGTTTAAATGCTTTTTGATGGGAGAATTTGTGTTGGATTTCTGTTTCATTGTAAGTTAGAATCCTTTTTCAGGGTGTTGCAATGCCTGCCATGAATAATATTCTGTCAAAGTGGATTCCTGTATCTGAAAGAAGTAGATCTTTAGCATTGGTGTACAGTGGGATGTATCTTGGATCAGTAACTGGCTTGGCTTTTTCCCCATTATTGATTCATAAATTTGGCTGGCCATCAGTCTTTTACTCCTTTGGTTCTCTTGGGACTGTTTGGTTTGCAGTATGGCTGAACAAGGTAAATTAAATTTGTTCTAGGAATCGTATTTGTTCTGTTTGTTCTCTTTAGCTAAGTTTCTGCAGCTACTTTGTTAGAAATTCCTACCTTATAAAAGAACATTATCTTTATAATATTTTTAGGGTCTGAGTTGCAGTTTTCATTACAAGTGCTAGTTATCTTTTTTCTGGTCCATTACCATAAAAAAAGACCACTATATTTATTGAGTCATGGGAGCTACATTTAATGAGGATATAGAGTCATTAAAAGTGATGATCTTGAAGGCTAAAATTTTGAGTTTTTTCCCAGTATTTGGTAGTTAGGAGTGTAGATGCCATCTTTGCATATGGATGGCCTCCTCGTTTTCTATCTCCTTCAGGCAGTATTGGCAAGATCAGGGGTTGACTCCTAAAATTACTTAAACCTCTAATTTTTGTGGAACACTGTGCATTTTACCCATCTCATACTTAAACCTCTAATATTGTCAGATTTGCTTCTTTTCTGAGTGATCGGAGTCGCTCTATGTTCTAGCTTGGCTTTTCCCTTTAGTCTTCTCTCTTCTCTTTCCTCTTTGTTGTATTCCTTACTGTGTAAGGGACCATTAAAGCCATCTGATGCTAAACCAACCCTTGCCTGCAGAATTTTCCACACTACATGGTTAGTAAGATATATTTTGGAAGACATCTACCATAAAGTTTTCTTCCACTGGCGCATGCAGAGTCTAGATGTGATTCAGACCAATAAAAAATAGTAAAACATTTCAGATTATAGCAAAAGAGGAAGAGAAGAAGAAGAAGACAACAAGAAGAAAATGGAAGGATGGAGAAGAAGGGAGAAAGAAGGAGTTCGATAATCCTCTCATTCTCCACTCTAATCTTTTATTAATCTTACTAAGATTGCATAAATTACAAGTCTGCCCTTAAGTGGGCATCCACCTCATCAACATACTTAGAAGACATAAAAAAGAATTAAAGGCCCATAAATAAAAAGGTCCATTAAGAACAAATAACAAGAAATAACTAATCAATAAGATCATAATGGGCTAGGGCCCATTCAGCCCAGTCTCTCTACACTCCCCCTCAACCTGAGCATAGATATCAATCATGCCCAACTTGCTTATATAGTGAACCAACTTTCCTTTAGGAACACCTTTTGTCAAAACATCAACCAACTATTATTTAGAAGCAATAAATGGCAGACAGGCTTTTCCTGAAGCAACTCTCTCTCGTATAAAGTGCTTGTCAACTTCTATGTGTTTAGTTTTGTCATGCTGAACAGGATTATGTGCAATGTTGATAGCAGCCTGGTTGTCACAATATAACATCATTGGCTTCTCACAGTCTATACCCAATTCTTCTAAAATTGATCTTAACCACAAAATATCTGAAACTTTATGTGCCATTGCCCTGTACTCTGCTTTAGCAGAGGATCTAGCCACTACAGACTACTTCTTCTCCATGATACAATGCTCCCTGCCACCATAGCAGGTCCACCTGAAGTGGACCTCCTATCATCAATACATCCAACCCAGTCAGCATCAGTGTATGCTTCCAGCTTCATGTGTCTATGCTTAGAAAACAAGATACCATTCCCTGGAGTCCCTTTTAGATAGCACAGAACCCTCTCAGCAACTGCTAAATGTGTATTTCTAGGAGAATGCATGAACTAACTAATTACACTAACTGCATAGGAAATATCTGGTTGAGTCATGCAAAGATATAATTACTTCCCAACCAGTCTCTAGAACACTTCCCTATCAGTTAACAGTTCACCATCAGTAGTTGATAGCTTATGATTTAGGTCTATAGGAGTGAAAGCTGGTGGAGCACCCAGTTTTCTAGTCTCTGCAAGAAGATCAAGAACATACTTATGTTGAGATTTGAGAAGTGAAGATATGATCCTTAGATCTGCCAACTTCAATTCCCAAGAAATATCTGAGTTTACCCAAGTCTTTAATCTCAAACTCAATGTTAAGAAATCTTTTGAGATGAGTAACTTCCTAAGTATCATTACTAGTAACCACAATATCATCAACATAGACAATCCGAAGGGTCATTAAGGAATCTCTCCTCTTAACAAACAGGGTATGATTTGATTGAGTCTGTGTGTACCCAAAAATAACAAGGGTAGCTTGAAATCTGTCAAACCAGGCTCTAGGAGATTGCTTATGGCCATAAAGGGACTTCTTCAATTTATAGACCTTCCCTTGCATCTCCTTCCCATATACCCCTGGAGGTAAAGACATATAGACCTCTTCATGTAGGTCCTCATTCAAGAAAGCATTTTTAATATTGAATTGATGAAGTGGCCAATCAAAAGTAGCAGCTAAAGATAGCAAAACTCGAATTGAAGTCATTTTGACCACTGGGGCAAAAGTTTCCAGGTAATCAATACCATACATCTGAGTGTATCCTTTAGCAACCAAATGGGCCTTAAATCTTTCAATAGTACCATTCGAATGATACTTAATAGTGAACACCCACTTACAGCCAACCAGTTCCTTTCCCTCAGGAAAATCCACAATTTCCCAGGTATTGTTCTTATGCAAAGCATCTAATTCAGCCATCATAGCATCCCTCTTTTATGGTTTGGATAAGGCTTCTGGGACAGATTTGGGAGTCACATGTGTGGAAACAAAGGCAAGAAAGGAATAGTAGGAAGGGGAAAGAAGGCTGTAGGACAGGTGTTTGGAAATGCAATGAGTTGTACATTTTCGTTTGCCTTTGCGAAGAGCAATAGGGAGATCAAGGTTAGGGAAGGTATCAAAAGTGGTAAAAGAGGGCTGACCTGTTACCTCAATAGTGATGGGAGGTGCAAGAGGCTCATCTGAAGGTGTGGAAACAACTTGCACATCCTTGAGTCTTTGTCTCTGGTACCACCTTTGGACAATAGGATGGGAAGAAAATGTGGGAGGATGAGCAGGAGGAGGGGGAGCACAAACATGAGAAGAAGACCTAGTAAAAGACTCGATGGGAGGAGACTCAATAGAAGACTCAATGGGAATTAGAAGAGGGACAGATGGTGACATCACAAACAACTCCTCTGAATGCTCCCCCTCAGGAGAAGTACCAAAGAAGGGAACAGACTTAGCAAATGTGACATCTCTGGAAACAAAGCTAGTGCCATGAACCGGATCAAAACAGCAATACCCCTTTTGTGTGGAGGCATATCCCAAGAAGACACACTTGTGTTCTTTAGGCTCAAACTTATGCCTCTGATGACTATGAATATGAACATAACAAGTGCACCCAAACACTCAGAGAGGAAGAGAGAAGAGATCCTCATTTGGAAATAGGAGGCTAAAGGGGGTTTTAAAACCCAGAACTCGGGAAGGCATCCTGTTTATCAAGTATGTAGTTGTAAGGACAACATCCTCCCAAAACTTAATAGGAACATGAAAAGCAAAAAGGAGGCTCCTCGCAACCTCAACCACATGTGGGTTCTTCCTTTCCGCAACTCCATTTTGTTGTGGAGTGTAGGAACAAGAAGTCTGATGAATAACTCTAAAGGTATCAAAGTAGGAGGAAAGGCTCTTCTCAAAATATTCCTTTGCATTATCAGTTCGGAATATTTTGATTCAAGTATTAAACTGGGTAAGAATAAGTTCATAAATTTTGTACAATATTTGGCACTTCATCTCGGGATCTCATAAGGTAAATCCAGGTGTAACGAGAGAAAACATCAATAAAAAAGATGAAATACTTGTAACCCCCTATAGCAGATAAATGATATGGCCCCTACACTTCAGAATGCACAATATGGAAAGGAGAAACTAATCTTTTATTACTCACTGAAAAAGATTGTCTACAATGTTTTGCAAGTTCACATGACTCACAATGAAGACTCGATAGGGATATTCCCTTAAACATTTCTGGAAACAAATGACTCAAAGCTAAAAAAGACAAATGACCAAATCTCAAATGACATATCATGACTCTATTAACTAACTTTGATGAGATAGACTCCAAGGCTACTCCACTAGGTGGTCCAAGACTTTGATTAGAGATATCTAACAAATATATTCCATTCACCTCATGGCCACTCCCAATTGTTCTCTGAGTTTTCAGGTCCTAAAAAACACAATGAGTAGGAAAGAAGGTTATGCTGCAATTCATTGATTTTGTTAAGCTACTAATAGATAAAAGGTCAATGCCAAGTTTAGGAACATGAATGACAAATGACAAAACAAGGGAGTTAGAGGCTCTAATGTTCCCTTTGCTAGAAATGGGAGCAAGAAACCCATCGGCAATTCTCTCTACCAGAGAGGAGCTGCTATGAACAAAAAAGTTAGATATGCTGGCCATATGGTCTGATGCGCCAGAATCTATAATCCAAGAAATTCTATGATTACCTGAGGCTGTAGCATGATTTGCAAAAGCACGAATACCCGAATGGGCAAACGCGGATGAAGAGGTGTTGCCTGAGGAGGAAGCTGCAATAGTAGTCTCCAAGTGATTAATTAACCTCCCATCTCTCTCAAATTCTGCCTTCACTGCTGCCAACTGCTCCACATCAGATTTTTCTTCATCTTTAGATGTTGTAACAACATTTGCATTCTTGGTCTTTCCAGACTGACCACCTTTCTTAAAGTTGTTGTTGTTATTGTTGTTCCGAAACCTCTCCGGAAGAATATCTAGATGAAGTTTCCAACAAGTATCCTTAGTATGTTTTGACTTCTTGCAGTATTCACATATCACCTCTTTCTTCTTAGTTGATCCCTTTGGTTTTATTCCAGCATGTGCAAAATGTTCTAAAGGTGGTGGACCCTGTAACTGTACCTGCCGCTTGTTGTCTTCACTGCTCACCATAGAATATGCCTGAGCAAGTGTTGTTTCATCCTTGGCCAGAATATTCTACCTCATAATATCAAATTCAGGGTTAAGTCCTGTAAGAAACTCAAACACTCTGTTTCTTTCCACAAATTTCCTGAATGCCTCTACATTCCTTGGTGCTTTCCCATACAACTGCTTCCATAACATCAATCTTCTGCCATAGTGACGTCAACATTGAGTAGTAGACAACACTCTTCTCCCTCTGTTTCAGATTTTTCACATCATTCTTCAGTTTGTAGGCCCTTGCAACATTCAATTTTTGAGAATATGTTTTTGTAACACTATCCCAAATCTCCTTAGCTGGAGTCATCCAAAGATAATGTTGACTTATGTGGGGCTGCATAGAACTTTCCAACCATCCAATAACTGTGTAGTTATCTTGCATCCATTTCTCATATGTAGGATCAGTCTCTTCCGATTTCACCTTACTGCCCGTGAGAAACCCTAGTTTACCTCTATTACAAACTTGAACTGCTTCATCTCACTTCCGGATTGCTCCATTGATCAAACGAAATTAAAAAACAATGTTTTCAAACTTTATAGACCTAACTGAGGTTAGTCCAACACTTGAAAATCCCAAAACTAGGGTTTCACTGTACCTGGCCTCTGGGGAGAAAGAGAGAAGAAGTAGTCGCTCCAACTAGAGCTTCCCAAACCTCTACCAACTGCAACCACCCACTTTTGGAGATCAAAAGGAACCCTCCAAGCCTTGAGCGCCACACCCAAACTGTCTCTTTAACCTGTAACTGGAAACTCTCTTGTCGGCTAGGGTTTTGGGCAAAAGATCAACAACCCCACTTTCTTGGCAATCTACAGCCAGATTCTGACTCTCCAAACCCTCTACCAACTAGGCATATAATCAGCAACTTACCTCTCCATACACCTTTCGATTAGAAGTGTATGGGAAAAGAAAAGAAAAAAATAAAAGAGAAGGAAGACCTGCTCTGATACCAAGATGTGATTAAGATCAATAAAAAATAATAAAATATTTCAGATTATATCAAAAGAGGAAGAGAAGAAGAAGAAGACAACAAGAAGAAAAAGGAAGAATGGAGAAGAAGGGAGAAAGGAGTTCAATAATCTCCTCTTTCTCCACTCTAATCTTTTATTAATCTTACCAAGATTACATGAATTACAAGTCTGCCCTTAAGTGGGCGTCCACCTCATCAGCATACTTAGAAAACATAAGAATTAAAGGCCCATTAAGAGCAAATAACAAGAAAGAACTAATCAATAAGATCATAATGGGCTAGGGCCCATTCGGCCCAGTCTCTCTACAAATTTATCATAACAGATAGTCATGATGATCGAGTAGCCTTTATAAATTGCTATTCAATATCAAAGATAACAAATTTTTCCATGTGTTTTTTTTTTGTTCTTTTTTGTTTTATTTTATTTTATCTTATTTATATTTTACCTTGGATATTTCATATTGAGATTGTAGAATCACTCATCTTTTGGTTACTGACACCATAGGCACATAGCTCACCAGCTGAAGATCCTCAACTTCGCCCTGAAGAAAGGAAGCTTATTGCTAGTACCAGTATTACCAGGGAACCTGTAAAAGAAATACCATGGAGACTAATATTATCAAAGGCACCTGTTTGGGCCTTAATAGTATCTCACTTTTGCCACAACTGGGGGACATTCATTCTTTTGACATGGATGCCAACATACTACAACCAGGTAATTATTTCTGCATATCAGTTGTGTAATATAATTTTGTCCTAATGAAAACTAATTTCATGTCTGCAATATCGGTATTCCTTAAAGAAATGCAGGTAGTTGTTACTACATCTGAGTGATTTGATTATATGTGATGGTGACCGGTCCAAGCATTATAATACCTATTCTCTCAAGAAGGCCAACAAACAGGTTCTGATTTGGCATGGGAAGACTCTTGGGACTTGGACTGAGATGGTCAGGGGTAGTTTCGTCATTTTAACTAGTCCTGTGTGGGCTTGGGCTATAACATCTTGTTCTTCTAGTTTAGTAGGGCTTGTCTTTCAATTTTCAGTTTATTTGCATTAGTAGATAGAAAATTATTGTGTTTCATGATGCACAAGACAAGGAGCGGCATTTTTGTAATTATAGTGAACAGTATTCCAGGCCACACAAGTCACTCTATAAATAGATGCATCATCTTCCTTTTGAAGCTAATGAATGAATGAATGAAGATTTCTTTAGAGCCCTTTTTCTATATGGAGTGATTCCTACAAACCCTAGAGTGATTCTAGGACCCCTTGGAGTGATTCCTTGGGATTTCTCTCTTTTCTCTTTCTCTACCCCTTCTCCCCTCCCCCCTCTCTCTCTCTCTCTCTCTCTCTCTCTCTCTCTCTTCCTGTCTTGTGTTAATTTGTCCCAGCCTTACTGCATCAGTTTTGGTACCAAAGCATCAGGTTTCAAATGTCTCATTACCATGGTAGAAACATGAGAGGAAGATTAAGTGAACAAGCTAAAGAAGAGTTGTTGCTTGCACTTATTAATCGAGTGGACACCCTAGAAGCTCAAGTCAAAGTGTTGATGGAAGAACAAGAAGAGAAAAACAGCACTAGTGTTCCACATGGAGGAGCTGAAGCAGAGGGTTCTAACACCAATGATCCTGCTGGTCCACATGTGAACCACCCACTAAGGACTGCCATCAAGCCCTTAAGGTCTTGAACTCTACAAATTCAAGGTACTCTAAAGTTTAAATGATTTATATGATGAATTGGAGGATTCTAAGACTAATATAGATGACTATCAGGATGATATTACTAGTAAAGTGAAGGTAGAAGTTCCTAGTTTTAGAGGTGATATCAATCTACGAGTTTTCTCCAATTGGTTGGCAGAACTAGAGGAGTACATTGATTGGTTCGATATGTCAGATGAGAGACGGGTTAGATTTGCTAAACTTAAACTTGTAGACCATGCAAAAGTATGGTGGAGGAGTGTGGAGAATAGATTACAGAATATGGGTAAGCATCCTATCACCCATTGGAAGATATGAAGCATTACTTGGAGGAGAAATATTTGCCTACAGGGGCGGAGCCAGGAATTTTTTATGAGGGGGGCCAAAACTTATGGATGGGCCATGGGGGGGGGCAACCATTGGGTGAGAAGTGAGGGGAGAAAGGAAACTTACATAGAAAAATGTATTCAGTGTGCAGATTTCTGGACCATAGGGGGGGCCATGGCTCCCCTGGGTCCCCCCTAGCTCCGCCCCTGTTTGCCTAATGACTTTCAAGATGCTCTTCATGATGAGATGATGACATTGAGGCAAGGCAACTTATGTGTGTCTAAGTACATGAAGAAGTTTGATGAGCTTACTATTAGATGTCGGTCTATAGAAAGTGAGGAGCAAAAATTAGCTCGATTTCGGAATGGTTTAAGGGCTGATATTCAAAGGGAAATGATGACTGCACGAGTTTATGATGTAGATGATGCTTTTCAAATGGCTCTTAAAATAGAGAAGAGCTTAAAGCAAGTGAATGGTAGGAGGTTTGGCATTCAAGCTGGGGAGGCAGCAATATGTAAGTGTTTAGATGAGGGCAGAGCCACTAGACCTACATCTCATAATGCTGTTCTAGTAAGGTCTAATGGTTCCAAGTATCAAGGAGTTGATAACAAGGGGAAGAATATCATGATTGATGCTAATAAAAGGGGAACAACAGAAAATACTTCTCTCTATTGTGGTGGAAAGGGCCACTATGCATTTCAATGCCCTAATAAAAGTCTACACATAGGGAGTGAGAAGGAAGGACAAGTGGAAGATGATGAAGGAGGCCTTGATGAAGAGCAGTACAATAGATCTGAACATGAGAAGAAGATGACAGCAATCTTGTTGGAGTTGTTAGACACATTTTAGCATCCTCTAAAGAAGAAAATAAGGAAGATTGGCTTTGTACAACGATCTTTCTCACTTTTGTCAAGAGCGGAGACAAGCTTTGCAAGCTAATAATTGATGGTGGTGGCAGCATGAATGTGGTTTCTACAACAATTGTTGAAAGGCTCAATCTAATTGCACAATCTCATCCTCAACCATACAAGATTGCTTGGTTAAACAAGATGACACTTCAGGTAAAACCGTAAAACAAAGAGCTCTTTAGAGACATACTATTGTTTCTGATCGTGATGCTAAGTTTATGAGTTACTTTTGGAAACTCCTCAATACAAAGCTGAAGTTCTCATCTTCTTTCCATCCTCAAACTAATGGCCAAACTGAGGTAGTTAATAGGAGCCTCGGTGATTTGCTACGTTGCTTAGTTGGTGACCATACTTCCAGGTGGGATCTCATCCTACCTATGGCTGACTTTGCTTACAACAGTTTAGTTAACAGGCCAACTAGAAGAAATCCCTTTGAGATAGTTACTGGAATTCAGCCTAAGAGGCCTATTGATTTAGTGTCTTTGCCCAAGAAGCCAGGACTAGCATAGAGGCTGAAGGCTTTGCTCGCCACATGAGAGAAATCCATGATGAAGTTAGGCGCAAGATTGCTCTTAGCAATGATGCATACAAAGCCAAAGCTGGTTTACATAGGCGCCGAGCTGATTTTCGGGAGGGTGATAGTGTTATGGTGCATATACGCCCTGAACGCTTTCCTAAGGGCTTTTGTAAGAAGCTTCACTCCAAGAGTGCAGGTTCCTATAAGATCACTAAGAAAATCAGTTCTAATGCTTATGTCCTAGAGTTTCCAAGTGAAATGGGAATTAGCCCAATCTTCAATGTTGAAGACCTAAGTGCATATCATGGCCATAGTGATTGTCCCACAGTTCCATTGCCTAAGTTGCCTTTGGTTCCATTTATTGATGTGCTTGAAGACATCCTTGATGAGAAGTTGATTTCTACAGCAAGTGGGAGTTATCAAAAGTTTCTTGTAAAGTGGAAGAATCTACCCCTTTCAGAATGTTCATGGATTACAGCTGAAGACTTGTATCATCTTAATCAAGAACTTTATGAGCAATATCATGCCTTTCACTCGCCAGGGTCGAGTTCTTTCAAGCCGAGGAGAGATGATGGGGATCAGTCTAGGCATTATAAGACCTATTCTCGCAAGAAGAAGGCCAACAAACAGGTTCTGATTTGGCATGGGGAAGACTCTTGGGACATGGACTGAACTGGTCAGGGGTAGTTTCGTCATTTTAACTAGTCCTATGTGGGTCTCTAGTTTAGTAGGGCTTGTCTTTCAATTTTCAGTTTATTTGCATTAGTAGATAGAAAGTTTTTGTGTTCCTTGATGCACAAGACAAGATAAGGAGTGGCATTTTTGTAATTATAGTGAACAGTATTCCGGGCCACACAAGTCACTCTATAAATAGATGTATCCTCTTCCTTTTGAAGCTAATGAATGAACGAATGAAGATTTCTTTAGATCCTTTTTTCTGTATGGAGTGATTCCTACAAACCCTGGAGTGATTCTAGGACCCCTTGGAGTGATTCCTTGGGATTTCTCTCTTTTCTCTTTCTCTACCCCTTCTCCTCTCTCTCTCTCTCTCTCTTCCTCTCTCTTCTGTCTTGTGTTAGTTTGTTCCAGCCCTACTGCATCAATATGTGCCTGAAACCCAATAGCACAACACCTTTTCCTTTCATAGAGGTTAGATTACACCTTTGTATCAGAAGAGAGAACATGGATCGGACAGCAAATCTCATGACTGAAAAACTTTTTGGTTTTTACTTAATAAAGCATGGAAATAATATAGGAAATAACTGAACAGGTCACAGGTGGGTGCTGTCATAGAAGAAATGGAACAAGAGAAGAAAAAAAGTTGAGATTTGTGTTGCATGATCCTAATAAAATATGATGCTTAATTCAGAGGTTATCTTTATAAACATCCCTTGTATGCTGCAGACTGGTTAAGAGAGCTCAAACATTTTGCAAAATGTGTTTAAATGAATAAGTGGGAGAGTGGAGCAGCAAGGCTGCCAATATGTGTAATTGTTTTATTTTTTGCATATCTTCTGATTGATGATTTCTTCTTTTCACAAGAATATGAAAATTAATGGGTTTCTTGTCTCTTTCTGGTCTTTAATTTAATATTTGTAACTAGAGAGTTCTTTGTGTATGAGGTCAGATTTACCTGCACTGACTTTGAAACTTTGAAACATGAGATGCTAAAACTTGATGCTGCTGTTTGCTACTATTTGATATTCATGGTCTTCCATACCTTTCCTAAAGGTATTCTGTAGATATCATTATTGCAATTGCAGGACTTCAAAAGTTTTATGTTAGTATGCACTTAGTCAAGAATGAATGTGCTTTTCATTTAAAATTGATTCTTCTCTAGGTCTTGAAGTTCAACCTCACAGAATCAGGGCTTTTCTGCGTTTTACCCTGGTTTACAATGGCAGTTTCTGCAAATATTGGAGGGTGGATTGCAGACACACTAGTGAGTAGAGGATTATCTGTTACCATGGTTCGCAAGGTATTTGTTATACTATTCTTAGTGTTATGTAATAGAAAGTTCATTTGTATCAATAAATAAATTGTTCTGAGCAAAATGCTGTGTTCAAGTTTTACTTGAACATTTTGATAGAGATTTAAAATATAATAGAAATCTTTCTATAGTTTTTGGTGCATTTGATCTTGAACTTGTCAATCCATAGTCATAGTATTTGTTAGTGTTAATGAAATTTGATATTCAAAATCTACCACCATTTCATAGAGCTGCTTTAAATTGAAAACAACAAAGAAGATGTAGAGATGCTTCTGTAGTGGCTAGTTTCCAAGTAATTCACCCCATCAAGCTTAACTGTTGTAATCTGAAAAGTATACTGTTTGTCATACTTCCAGCCCTTAACGTACCTTCTCCATTAACTTCCAGATTGTTGGAGGGAAGATTTAAATTACAAGAATTTGAACTCCCTCCCTTTGGTTTTGTCTTTGTCTTTATTTGGCTTTTGTTTTTTGCAACCTCTTGAGAGCATGTGAAGACCTCTTGTCCTACATTGCTTGGGAAAAGAGGTGGACTTGAGTATATTACCAGACTTGCTATCTATATGGGTAGGGACCGATAGGAGGAAATACACTATACATCATTCACATGCTTGTAGGGGGATTGGGGGTGCTTTTCACTCACGTGTGCACCGGGCCGGGTCGGGGCGTGCATACACACGCACGCACCATACCATATCGCTTGTCTTTGACCATTTGGTTTCTTAACTGGTTTGATCGTTTGAATTTGATTTTTATTTTTAAAATGTTTCTTTTTGTGCCTCTTTGTTTCTGGCTGTGTGTCTCTTCGAATCGGTACCTTGCACACTGTTCTGGAGAGACATCTTTCTGAAAGGACACCTCTGTGTCCATTTGGGTGACTGAGAACACTCTATAAATAGAGTGTTCATCAACCCAGTGACACAGAACAGAACACACACAATCACAGTCCTCTGCCCTTTGTATTTCTCTGAGCATCTTCCATTGGTGATTTGCGGAGGTCTGGTAAACGAGTGCATGACTACCAGAAGCCTGTGGGCTGTTTCATCTTGGAAACCGATTTGTAATCACCTGGATGAACTATAGGGGAAAATGCGATTTTAAGGAGAGTGACCAAGTGACAAGACTCGGCTCATTTCAGTCTGCAATCCCCAGTTTCTTGTCAACTTTCAGTATCGGTTCTGCAACACCGCTGCACTCCGGGTTCGGAAAGTGTTGAACGATAAGTTCCGTTATTCCTTATAATTGCTATTTTTACAACATAGATTCACTTTCTCCATACTGCTCACAATCCTTGACTTCACAAATCAGACTAAAGAGAAGGAAATCAAGCTACAAGACACCAACAACCAACTCAATTCAACACTTACCTACGCAGAACTGAGCCCCCAAAAGCAGCAAAACAATTAAGTTCAGCCCTCTAGAGGACATATAGACCTCTCTAACAGCAGATGATCTTCTTCTAATAGGGAAAAGATCAAGAACAGATCTGAAAAACACTGATCTGTTACAGATTATCTGTAATTGCAAAATCAGTTCCAGATTATCTTCCTTAGTAAACCCTAGAATCAATCTTGGAGAAAAGAGTGGTCATGCTGCCACTCCTTCCAGAGGTCTCCAAAATATTCCTGACTTCAATCAATCTCAAGAACAGGGTAAAATCTGCCCAGAAAACTCTAAGCACCACCTTCGATCAAAGGTTTAAGCCCAAAACCAAGATTTCACTCCTTTCTCTGATTCCTCCTGGTTTCTGGGCAATCTCCAAAACAAAGGTTCTGGGAAGCAACTATAAGACTCCAAAAACCTCCAAGAACCAGGCCTTAATTAATAGAAGACTCCAGTATTTAATCTATCTCATACAGTTAGCTGGATCAGGTACACATAAGATCTAAAAGATGGCTGGACCCTGCTCTGATACCAACCTGTCAAGCAGTTACCCAGTAATCCTTTATTTCAGATCAAAAGAATAAAAGGAAGAAAAACTGAAAAGATCTTAGAAACAAGATTAATAGAGAAGTAGAGGAAGAGAACAGAAAAGGGAATTAGAAAAGGGGAGCAGAAAGAACAAAAATTAGTATTTATATTAAGATCTTAAAAAGATGGTATGACCAAAATACCCTGCATTGCTATACATCATTATAAAGATATAATGACAGCAGTATATCAAGTTATCAACAATAAAAGAACAAACAGAATAAAAGTTAACCTACTGCATCTCTACAAAGGAAAAAATTTTGGTTTCTCTAGTGGATCTCTTTAGACAGCCCTGGCTTGCAAATATATTCTCGTTTGATTAAGAAGGTCATGATTTCAAGACTTTTAGTTACTTTCCAAGTTGGTGTAAATATCAATTACTCACCTTTTTCTTTCTCACATCCTACTGGAGTCTGAGTTGGCTGCTATACAACTTCAGGAGATATTTCTTTTACTGCTATACATTCCATTTCTAGATTCTCTATCCACATTTGAAGTCTATCAGATTTTTAGCTTTTGTTTCTACATTATTGTTGTTGTTGTTGCACCAACCATCGTGACTAATTTATATTCATGAGTTGTTTTCTCTATGTTCTCAAAACAATATTAAAATGCATATATAATATTGCAATTGGTCCCAACTCAAATACTGCTAGATGAGCATGAGTCTATAAACCAATGAACCAAAATGTACAGCCTGATTCTAGAATGGTGGTTATGTAAAGAACAATTATAAAGTGAACCCTTTATTGGAATCGACGGTACGTAATGCATAGAAAAATACCCAGGACGTGTCTCTAAACAGAGGATATGCAAAAATACTAAATAACACAATTTATGTTTTTTAGTGCTATCATGTTTGGTACTATGTATGCCCAAGTGGCTTCTAGCTTGTTAGACCAAATATTATTCAAGGATCTGTTTCTTTATTAACCGTGGTCTTAGAGATTGACTTAGAGAATACATAAAAATAAGATTATATAAAGATAATCTGGTAGCTTTTTAGGTTAGAAGGGACTGTCCACCAGATATATTGATGCAACAAATGTGAGGCCATGGATTTGAGACATCAGAATGTCCTATCACAGTGGGTAGTCGCCCAAATGTTGGTGTTAACTTTGTAACTTTTATGCTTTAGTAATGTATGAGTTAATTGAGCATCTATAGGAAGAAACCCAAGGGTATAATTTTTTGGTAATGGCGTAATCTTGATTGAGAGACTAGGGAGGTTTAATTTGGTTCACATTGAAGGATCTGAAATGGTATGGGGGCTGAAAAGAACGTGGTTATCAGTAGTGAGAGAAGACTTGAGAATGTGTGTTAACAGAATGTGGCTCCAAGTAGAGCAGAATGGTGGGCTACGATTTGTGTGGTCCATCCCAACAGTTGAGATAAGGATTTCTGATTTGGAAAACATTTTTAAAGGTCTATTGAAGGTATGCGGAAAATAAATTCATGTATATTAAGGTGTTTCTCTCCAAATAGATTCCTTGGTTATATATGTTTAATCTGTACTTGGGTAGAATAAGTAAATGAAAAACCTTTGACATACTATTCCATATTCATATTATGATTCATTATGGTCATAATATCTGTACACTGATGCCTGATTGGTGAGTTGATAAGTCAATGGGTTTTCTAGTGTGAAAGCTAGATAGTAGACCTGTGTTCAGAACCTTTTCCCCACCTACTAACTGTTGTCCCCTAAAACACTTTTTTGTAAAGAAAAAGAGGGAAAGGATATGCAGTATAGGCTGCTATTTCAGAACTCCTGCTAAACAAATAATAGACTATATTATACATATTAAATCAGGTGATATTTATCTTTGAATACATGTTATGCCTGCTAAACTCCAGAGATGATTTGAACTGATTGTGGTGGCCTATCCCCATGAATCTGATTCTCTTTTTTTCCTAAGATGATGGGGTTTGTCACTTAAGCCATGCAATAGATATTGGAAAAATGAGACTGAAGATGGGCTTCTGGGTGGTGAATTGAGAATCATTTTTGGTTGATTATAAATTTTTATCATATATGAAGTGTTGCTCTCCTTATCTTATGTCCTTACTTTATTAGCCAGTCTTCTTCCAGTAGAGATTTATATGCATTGCAGACCATTAATACAAGTTTTCTATTCCATTGTTTATTTCACCTTGTTTTGTGCCTGACTTTGCAGATTATGCAGACGATTGGGTTTCTTGGTCCAGCCTTCTTTCTTACTCAGTTGAGTCATGTTAATTCTCCTGCAATGGCAGTTCTATGCATGACTTGTAGTCAGGTTTGTCCCTACGACCTATTAAATACAGTGGTGGCTGTAAACTACTCAGTTTGCAATCAGTAATCTGTTCACTATCCAAATTTGTCCCTCACTTCAACTCTCTTGGTTTGTTCGTACAGTTATTCTTTGTACAACAAACTGGAAGGCTTTGTGAATTAGCCTTTCAAGTAGATCCGAATTATGCAGTTTGAATAATATTTCTCAGTCAGCAGGATTTTTCTTGGCATTTATTTTAATTATTGGATCTTAAGTGGAAATATAAAATGAATTCTGTTGTGGTCTTCCATTAGTTCCTAAATTTGAAACTTAGTTGATTCTGATAGATAATCCTTGTCCCATTTAAAAAATCATTTGGTGAAAATCAATTTTGCTTCTCATGAAGGGGGGTCATTGTAAATGTTGTACATGGGTTGACAAGTTTTACTTGTTCATGTGCTGATTACATACATGTATATTGATATACAAGGGCCCAACTGAGAGGGCTACAGACCAGGTCTAAAGGTCTTACAATTACAGCTCAAACAGACTAGTAGACCTCAACTGGGTGCCCAGCACCCTGACCTGCACGCCCTTAGCTGTGGCAGTCCAAGAGACCAGTTTGCTAAATGAGGTAGAGATTAGGCAGTTTACATCCATGATACAGTTTTGGAATATTCTTCTGTTTCTCTCCAACTAAATAGTATAAATAACTGCAGCAGGAACTGTCTTCCAGACACATTTAGCCAACTTTGACAAACCTTGGAGCTCCCAGCACCAAAGTAGATCCTTCACAGAGGTAGGCATGACCTAGGATACACCCACCAAGGAGAGATAATGGTTCCAAATTTCTGCAGAAAAAGGGCAATGCAGAAAAAGATGATTGTTGTCTTCTTCTTCATGGCCACACAACACACTGCAAATCTTGTAGCTGAACTCCTCTCCTGGCCAGGTTCTTTTTAGAGAGACTTCTATCTAGCACCACAGCCCACAACAAAGCTTTAACTTTTGAAGGAGGAACTGGATTCCAGATTTTCTTTGCTGGAATATCAACTCTGCCTCCAGTTACTAGGTTCATAGCAAAGGATTTAACAGAAAATAGCCATCTGTAGTCTAGTTCCAGCTCCAAGAGTCTTCTTCCAACTGGTTTAAAGGCTGAGAAGATAGCAACTGGAACAATTCAGCCACTGATCTATTTCCCAGTCTTGGAACTGTCTTCTGAAGCAAGGAATCCAAGTGACACTGTTATCTCCCCCTTCATAGCACTCAGCAACCAAAGCATCCTGGTTTTCTGCAAGCTGGAATAACTGGGGGAAGGTCTCAGCTAGAGGCCTGTTATTGCACCAAGGATCTTTCCACAAACTCAGTCTGTGACCGGACCCCAGCCTAAGAGGCAAGCCTCTGTTGAAAAGTGGGGCCACCTCCATGTTTTTCTTCCACAGGGAACACCCCAAAGTGGGGAGATTTGAAGCAGTTGCCCAATCCCCTCTATCAGTTCCATATTTTGCTGCTATTAGACTCCTCCACCAACTTTCCTTTTCTTTCTCAAATCTCCAAAACCCATTTCCCCAATAGAGCCTTGTTGAAGATGATGTAATCTTAGTTATGTGCCGCAAGGGCACTGTTAATGTCGACTGTGTAGGGGTATTTTAGTCTTTATGTTTATGTTTAAGTTGCTTATGTGTAATGTTCTATTAGTAGTTGTGTCCCTCACTTAAGTAGAGGCAAAGGAGTCCTTTTATGAATCAATAGAAACATATAAATTGATCTGGCCGACTAGAGAGATAGATTCTCTCTTGTTCGGACCAGATTTCTCTCCATCTCAGTTTTCTTTTCTTCTTCTTCTTCTTCTTCTTCTCATCTTTCTCTTACTTCTACAGTCACCATTCTAACAGAATTCAAAGGCAGATTGGATTATAATATGGTATCAAAGCTAGGTTGAGAAAATCGAATCTGCCCAGAATTCTGATCTTCATGCATCCAGTCTAGGGTTTTCTTCTTTTTTCTTCGCCATCAGTTGGAGATAAGGTAAGGAGCTGAAAAGGAGTGATCGCCCTCTTCCCTTGGAGGTTTCTATGCCTCCAGTCATGCAGTTCGTAGGTTTTTGCTGTGGTTTGTAGGAAGCCCCCCCTAATCGATGAAGAGAAGAGGGCTGATTCGAGTGATGCAGTGGAGTGTCGAGTACAGTTTGATATTTTGGTGATTAGGTAAGTGATTTTTATGCAGTTTTTATTGTGAATCAAATGGTGGATGTGTTCCAAATTGTGTGGTGAAAATTCAGGCTGTAGTGTGTTAGGGTTTATGCAGATTTCAGTGTGGTTTGAAGGGGGAGTGATCTTCGAGTAGTGTGGTGAGGTTTCAGGTAGTCGTGTGGTAGGGTTGTGGTGTAGTGTTGAGGGCCCGCGAATAGGATCTCGTCACGGGTCGGTCCACGGGAAAAACCACCTGTTTTCCCTTGTTCCTTCCTGCTCTTGATGAACCTATCTTGACGCCTTGGTAATTTGTTCAAGAGATCACCAACTCTCCTAACTCACTTCTAGACTGAATATTCGATATCTTCATTCAATAATGGTGTCTCCTTAAATAGGAGATTACAAGAGTCCTAATCCTAGGGAGACTCCTTGCTGAATAGGGAGATCTCCTGCTCTATCTTGATAAGGATAAGATAAGTCTCTCTTAATCCTAATCTGATAAGATAAGATAATCTAATCAACTAATAAGATAAGATAAGAACAAGTAAGATAGTCTAATCTAATCTGGATAAGACTGCTATTGCCGAACTGGGTAGGATGAGAACATTGAATCACTGCTGCTGCAGGCGGGGGTCAGGTCCCTGCTGCTGTCGGCGGCGATGATACTTCTTCCCGAGGAATGCGTCCATAACATTACTCCCCTCCTGGACTAAGAGCTTGTCCTCAAGCTCGAACTCCGGATACGTGGCTTGGAACTTTGCCAAGGGAATCCAGGTGGCTTCATCCGATGGTAAGCTGTCCCATTCTACCAAAACTTCAAGAATACCTCGATTGATACGAGAGCGGATGAGAGCCCTAGGCTGTGGAACAGGTTTGCCTTCTTTCAAGGGTGGCAGGGAGGGGACTTGGTCCGGAGGAACACCCGTAAATGGTTTCAGCAAGGAGACGTGGAAAACATCATGAATCCGGCTATTCTCCGGTAATTCCAGCTGGTAGGCCACACTGCCAATCCGCCGCAGAACCTTGAAGGGGCCATAGAACTTAGGGGCCAGTTTCGGGGCAGCCCTGTGGGGCAAGGAGCGTTATCGGTAGGGCTGGAGTTTTACCAAACAAATTGTCCTGGTTCGAACGAAAATTCCCGATGGTGCTTGTCATAGGTGAGCTTCATGCGGAGCTAGGCCTGCTGTAAGCGAAGGTGTACGTCGGCTAGGAGGGCGTCGCGTTCTTTTAAGGAGTGATTAATTTCCTCCAAACGAGTAGAACCGGGTTCATAGGACAGCAAGCGAGGAGGGTCCCGGCCATAAACGAAGCGAAAAAGGGGTCATGCCGAGGGAAGAATGGTAGGCCGTGTTGTAATAATACTCGGCCCAAGGAAGCCAATCCACCCACCGTCGCGGTTGATCCCCTACGAAGCAACGGAGATACATCTCGATCGTGTGGTTTACCACCTCCGTCTAACCGTCGGTCTATGGATGATATGCTGAGGAGAAGGCCAGGGTGGTGCCGTGTAGCTGAAATAACTCCTTCCAGAAGGCACTAGTGAAAACTGGGTCCCTATCGCTGACGATGGATTCTGGTAACCCATGTAAGCGAAAAATATGCATAAAGAAGGCGAGGGCAACTGAAGTGGCACTGTACGGATGTGATAGAGGAATGAAGTGGGCATATTTAGAGAAGCGATCTACCACCACGAAGAGGACTGATTTGCCGCCTACCTTGGGTAGCCCCTCGATGAAGTCCATGGAGATGTCGGCCCAGATCTGTGTCGGGATCGAAAGGGGCTAAAGGAGGCCTGCCGGGTGCAGGTTTTCCCATTTATGCTGTTGGCACATGGGGCAATTTTGGACAAAATCCCGAATAGAAGTCTTCATACCTTGCCAATGGAAATCAGCCCGGACGCAGTGCAACGTTTTCTGAACGCCCTCATGGGTGGAGTTATGGATGCTGGCGATGATGGTGGGAAGCAACGGGGAGTCTGGCGGAAGATGTATCCGACCTTTATATAATACCAACCCGTCCTGAAGGGACCAATTGGAGTCGGCAGCGCCGGACTGGATCTTCTGGACCAGGAACGACCATTCCGGAGACTGTGGCGTTGCCTTCTTGATGTCGTCTAACAGAGAGATCCGGGGTTGGGAAATGCCACACAGAGACATCGCGTCTTCATCGCGCCTAGACAAGGCATCAGCTGCGCGATTTGAGGTTCCCGCCTTGTATTCCACCCAGAAATCGAACCCGAGGAGTTTGCTAACCCAATGTTGCTGAGGGGAAGTGGTGAGGCGTTGCTCCAACAGGTATTTGAGGCTGTAATGATCAGTTTTGACGACGAACGACCGCCCCCACAAGTACGGCCTCGAGTGTTGGACGGCTCTAGCTAGGTCGATTAGTTCGCGCTCATAGGTTGGAAGTTTCAGATGTCGGTCGGCCAGCCTGCGGCTGAAGAAAACAATCGGGTGCCCTTGCTGCTGTAACACGGCCCCGATACCCATTCCAGAGGCATCGCACTCGACTGTAATTTCAAGAGCAAAATTTGGTAATTGCAAGACTGGGGTGGAAGACAGGGCATCCCTCAGTGTCAGAAAAGCTGCATCGGCTGCGTCATCCCATCGGAAGGAATTTTTCTTTAACAGGTTGGTTAACGGGGCAGCCAACAGTCCATAATTCTGTACAAATTTGCGATAGTAACCTATTAATCCTAGGAACCCGCGTAAGGCCTTGGCGGATTGAGGCTTGGGCCATTCCTTGATAGCCTGAATTTTGAAACTGTCAATCGTCACACCTTGCCCGTGGATGGCGTGGCCTAGATAAAGAACCTGTCGCTCCCCGAAGGAG